CAAACCGAGCGTGTACGCTGCTTAAGATCGCCTCAAACGATACTGCCCCCACGTGGTGACACTCATCGACGATCACCTGGCCGTATCGCTGAACCAGCGGATCGACCTCACCGCGCCGGGAAACGGACTGCACCAGGGCGATATCGATGCGCCCAGTGGGCCGGGATCGACCGCCGCCGATACTGCCAATCGTTTCCTCACTAACGCCAAGGAGCGAGGTCAACTGCTCGCGTCACTGCCTCAGCAGTTCCGATCGATGAACCAAGATCAGGGTGTTCACACCCCGGTGAGCGATCACAGCGCTGGCCGTCACCGTCTTGCCAAAACCAGTTGGCGCGCTCAGTACACCGATTTCGTGCTTGTGTAAGGCCGCCAGGGCGGTTTTTTGCTCATCCCGTAATTGTCCGGAGAAGTGCACCTCAATAGGATTTCCCTGAAATCGCTCGTCAGCGATTTGGCAACTAATGTTGTGTTCCTTTAAAAGGCGTTCGGCAGCATCAAAGCAGCCGCGCGGCAGAGCGATGTGTTTTGGATAATTTTGGGCGCACCCGATCACACGGGGTTTGTCCCAAACCGACAATCGGAGCGCTTGCGCCTTGTGGAAAGCGGGGTTTTGAAAGGCGGCCAATCGAATGAGGCGGTTTGCTAGCGCGATCGGCAGTTGGGACTTCTCAAAGTAGAGCAGGTTCGCGATCGTGAGGTCGATTGATATGGGCAGCGATTCAGGTAGATCCGCCAGTGGGGCAGGGCTTCGATCCCACGGTTTTGCCAGGTCTTGCTCATCAATGAACGATACATCAAGCGGATGGCCACCGCCGCTGGCGGTCGCCGTGAATGCCCGGGCTGCCGCGATCGACAGCCGCTTAATACCCTGCAAGTAGGCCCACTGATCGGCATACGGTTGCCAGTGCTGATCGACGAAGACGCTGCATTGCTCATCGCGACGCAGCTTTTGAAGGGGTAGGGCGATGAGATTACCAAAGCCACCACTGGGCATCACATCCTGGCTGGGAAAGAGGCGATCGTACGAATCCAACTCGAGCTGGCGGGTACGGGCGCATGTATAGCTAATGAGTGCGGTGCCCAATTGACGCGCTTCACTCGCTGGGATCGCGGTTTCAAAGAAAATCCAGACATGGGCGCCCTCACCAGAGCGCGAGATCTCTAGCGCAGCCGGCACCTCAAGGGTTTGGCATGATTCAAAATAGGCCATCGCGTCCTCGCGCCACGAGCTTGAGTCAAAATCAATCGCAAGAAATCGGCAAGTGTTGTCTGGTCGAAGCGGGTAGACCCCCACGGTTTGAGCGCCCGACAGGTGCTTGTAGACCGCGGTATCGTCAAGCGGTACGAACTGCCGATGGCTGCAATCCGAGCACTTGACGCGGGGCTTTTGGCAGATACCTGGGCGCCATTCATTGGCACAGGCGGGTGCATAGCCGCTCCGCGCACTCGAGGCGCTTTCCCACCGTACCGCGAAGAGATCCGAGCGGCCCTCGAATAGATCCAAGAAAAGGCTGACTTTTTGGGTGGTGGTGAGTTCGGTTGCTTTCGCTTGCACCTCGTCTGACGATGCCTTTGTATCACCACGTGTCGATTCAATGTCGTGCGACTGGAGCAATCGCAAGAGGCGGGCGTTTTCAGCCTCTAGTTCAGCTATGCGCGCCTTGTCATCCATACCAAGAGCTTATGCGATGACCATGAGCTGACTGGCCAAGACCCTTTCGTCGGCCACGCAAATTTCGCTGGCGACTGAACCCTTAGGCCTCGGCTTGTTTAGGCCTGAGCTCGTTTTGCGTTTGCGATGCATGCCAAAATCCCATAGGCAGCCAGGATCACCTGATTGACAGCAGGACTGGGATCTTCAAGGATGCCGCTATCGGCTATCAGCTTCGTGATGTGGGCCATGAGCCAGGGTTCTTGGACAAACCCCTCGTACTGACTAATCGACTGTCCAATTTGTTCCGGCTGCAGTCCTTTAGAAAATCTAACGGCTGATGCAAATCGTTCAATTTGAGCCTCATGCTCTTGATCGGTAATAGTCGCAAGTTCTATTGTCGAGAACTTCAAGGGCAAGTGAACAACGATCAATAGATCGATGAGCAAATCCAAATACTGAACCGGGACGTCGGCCTTGGTAAGCGCCAGCACGGACGACAACAAGGTCGGCTGCGAATGATAGATCTCATCACAGAGTCGCTCCTTTGCCTGAAAGTCGAGTGTTTCAGTCATTCGAATAGCAGAGGCCAGGTGGGTGGCGGCAATGAAGGTCATCGGGTGTCGCCAATGGGGCTGAGGTTCACCATTTTACTGACCCATCTATGGATGACTGGTCACGCGCTAAACACGACGGCGAAACCTCTCGACGTTTGTCACCATCGTCAACGAAAATAATACTGGTGTGTACTTGCAAAAGCGGCGATAACACCTTGTCGAGATAAGAAGTTGATTGCGCTGGCGTCAAGGGGACCTGAGCCTGACGACAATCACGTTCAAGCAATCCTGAGCGATCTGATAGACAGTGCAGCCTGTCCCGTTGACAACCGCATCGGGAATCAGTGCATCAGCCCTATCAGGCTTCGTTGGATTGCGACGGTCCAACTGATAAACAAAGAGGTTGGTATCTTCAAAGCGCTCAGCGCTCGCTCATACCCTCGCGCGACGGAGATTCGCCGACGCGCAGTTTTCCGCGCAGTTCGCTGATCGCGGCGTCGTATTGCAATGCGCGGTCGCGTTGGTGCACATAAACGGTCAACCATCGTCGAAATTGTTCATTCAGCGTTGTTTGCTCTTCCCGTGCGCGCGCGTGGGCTGCTTCAATCAGCGTTTCGTCAGCGCTTAAGGTGATTTTCTTCATTCAGCTGCCCAGCTATGTACACGAAATTAGCGTATACGAAACTCGTGTGCCTGGATCGACCTAGCGATCGATGGGGAGATCAAAGTTAATCGGTGAGCCCTAAAATTGGCCTTATTTCCCATGAAATTCAATAGGTTAGTATGCCTTGTAAGCATCATGTCGAATTAGAACAGATTGTTGTCAAACACTTGACATGTTCTGCACATGCAAACATCATTGGCACATGGGATCCATGATTCAAATTCGGCACGTGCCTGACGACGTGCACCGCAAATTGAAAGCGAAGGCGGCGCTCGAAGGCCTGTCGTTGTCTGAGTTTCTATTGCGTGAGGTCCAGGCATTAGCGGATCGCCCCAGCCCGGCAGAGCTTCGAGATCGTCTGGCTTCGCGGGCCGCTTTCCAGGGGCACGAATCACTGGCTGATACCGTCCGCTCGGAACGCAACGCGCGATGATCGTGTTGGACGCATCGGCCGCGCTCGAACTCTTGCTCAATTCACGGCTAGCTGACCGGGTCGCTGCACGGGTATTCGAACCGGATCAATCTCTTCACGCGCCCCATTTAATCGACGTTGAGATTGCCCAGGTATTACGTCGCTCGGTTCGTCGAAACGACATCGACGCCCAGCGTGCTGAACTTGCCTTTGAGGATCTTGCCGACTTACCGTTGACTCGGTACCCGCACCAGTTGCTTTTGACCGGCATCTGGGCTCTGCGAAGCAACGCAACCGCTTACGATGCCGCTTATCTTGTCCTGAGCGAAACACTTGGCGCTACCTTGCTGACATGCGACAAAGCACTTGGCAGCATTCCGGGGCATCACGGTAACGTCGAGGTACTGCACTAGCAAATCGCGTTGCGTGATTGAGATGCGAAGGCGCCGAGCCAAGTGGCTTTACCGTCTGCTATGCAATAAGAGAAGTCTGCGCAACGAACAAACCAAGACCTGCTTAGGCGAATTCACGGGTGTGTCCTTGCCTGCCTGCCGGCTAGACTGACTACCGGAACGGGCCAAGCCATTCCCGTCGCATACCGTATGATCAATGGAGCTACGACTGCGCGCGTGACAAGTTTTCTTGATTAATATCAATCACTTACTGCGCATAATATTAGTTATGTCAAATAAGATACGGAGGGCACTTAGGATCTTACTAGTCCGGTAACTCTTTTCATTTGATAGCATATACGCTATCATTGTGCATGCCAACGATCGTGCTCGATACCAACATCCTAGTGGCCGCCCTGCTGCGCGGTGGTGGTAGCGCCCGGACGGTCGTCAGAGCCTGTCTGACGGGGCAATATCTGCCGGTCCTCGGCCCAGCGCTTTTTGCCGAGTACGAAGAGGTCTTGGGCCGTGAGGCGCTTTTTGCTGACGCGGTCTTGCCCGCCAACGAACGCGAGGAAGTCTTCAACGGGTTTTTGCACCAGTGCCAATGGATCGAAGTGTTCTTTGGGTGGCGCCCGAATTTACCCGATGAGGCTGACAATCACTTGATTGAATTGGCGATCGCCGCTCAGGCCGATGCAATCGTCACGCGCAATCTTCGCGACGTGGCTCGCGGCGAACTGAAATTTCCGAACTTGAAAGTTTTAACCCCTGAACAGTGCCTGGAGGAGTTTCCATGTCCACGTTGACGATTCGATTACCTGATGACAAGCATGAGCGCTTAAAGGCGCTCGCACGCTCGAACCAAATCAGCGTCAACAAGTTAATGGATGAGCTAGCGACTGTTGCGCTCGCTAACTATGATGCTCGGGTGCGCTTTGAAACTCGCGCCGCGGCGGGTGACCCCAGTCGAGCACTAGAACTTCTCGAAAAAGCTGACGCAACCGATCAATAGACTCACTTGCGCGGTCGGCTTGAGCTGGCGTCCACTACTTCGGGGGGCTTTGTCACCTTGTTCCAGCTGGCTCTATAAAACTAGAGGTTCCACATCCACTACATACCAGCAATCTCTGACCAAATGGAAAACGCTCTTTGACGTAACGTCCGATGATTTTCCGCTCTCAATAAATGTCGTCCGTAACGGAACAGATTGTTCACGCTCGCATGTAAAGAGAGAAATCGTTGCGCCTGATCGGCTGATTTGAACCGCTGCATTTGACGCTCCTTTCTTCGAGTTGCCTGATGCGAATTCTCCGCACGATTATTGGCATAACACCGCGTGTCGTGTTCTGCTTTGGGTCGCACTGCCCGGATCGCGGCTGGATAACTGCTAAGCCCGTCCGTCACTACGATTCGAGGCGCCCTGCCCTGTCTCTGCAAAATCTTACGGAAGAAGCGCTCAGCTGCTACACGGTTACGTCGAGGCTGGACTAAGACATCAAGAACATCTCCGTCCTGGTCGACGGCTTGCCAAAGATATAGGTAGTCACCGTTGATCTTCAGAAAAACTTCATCGACACACCAGCGATCAGAACCCTTGGCTTCGCGCCGCTTCAGCGCGCGTTGATAGCCAGGCCCGAATTTCAGACACCACCGACGAACTGTCTCGTAGGAAACGGTCACTCCTCGGTGAGCCATCAGATCTTCGACGTCTCGAAAACTCAGAGAAAACCGGTGATACAACCAAACAGCTGTACTGATGACTTCAGGCGGAAACCGATGATTGACGTATTGACTGGCTTTCTTCATCGCTCAACAATGCCATGGTCTGGACAACGTATTCAATGCCCGCGCGTGACACTTTTTCTTTCTTAATATCAATCACTTACTTCGGATAACGTATCTTATGTCAAATCCAAACACTGCCCGGTTATTTATGAACACTTGGTCCGCCCCACAAGACTTAGTTTGCTTGGTCAGTACGGACAGAATCAGCGAGACCGTCAATATTCACGAAGCAAAGACGCTCCTCTCTCGGCGCATTGACGCAGCGGTCAACGTTAAGTCATTTGCCGTTGCTAAAGCGGGCAAACCGATGGTCAGAGTTGAAGCCTTGTTACCTGCCTACTCGCCCAAACCGGTCGCGCAATGCAATCCAGTCTCCGTACGTCATAGACATCAACCAACCTAACTGAACTAGCTAGGCTGCTAGTCCACTGCCCATCGAGAGTACCTCCCGCGCAGGCGAGACCGACAAGATGACATTGGTCGCCTATCTTCAACTTAAAGCCTAGCAGAACTGCGGATTTTCGATCGGGTCGACGCAGCCTGGCGGCCCAGACGCGCTTATCGTGAACGTTTCACTCCGCTTCCCCAGTGCGCCGCCAACATCGCGGACTATGCTGTAGTACTCATCAGTGGTTGGCATAAAAAAGTCACCATAAACACTAGTCTCTTTTCTCCATATCCAAGTGCCATCATCGTTGGGCTCAATCATTGCGCCCCCCTCCAGTACCTGCCCATTGGCAAATACCAGTACTTCAAAGCAACATGGGTCGAAAGTCGCACTCACTGACCCAATGAGCGTGACTGGTCCAGCGTATTCCCCGAGAAAGCCCCCAGATGAAAAACGTTCTTGGTTCTCGTTTTCAAGCGCGACGATTCGCGTTTCGATCGAGCCAAGGAGAGACGGCCTGACGTCGATCGTCACAGCGGCCTCCGGACCGCGAGTTTCCCCAACTAATCCATAGACGGAAAAGACTGTCTCGCCCGCAGCAGGCACCTCAGTCACGATAAAGCTCACTGTCCATCGACCTTTCAGAACGTCACTAACCAGCGAGACATCTCCCCACGTAGCAACGACAGAACTAGCATCGCTTTGTCCCTCAAAGACAACCGATTGCTCGATCGGAAGCTGCAGGTTGGGCGGGTAATCTGTGATGACGGGCGCAGCGGGAGCTGCAAGGATATTAATCTCTCGCGTTGCCGCTGGACTGGTGCCGGCGCCGTTTGAAGCGACGATGCTAACAGTCGTCGACCCGGGCGCTGGTAACGACTCAGGAGAGAATTCGACTCGCCACTGCCCCTTCGTGTCTGACTTTGTGGTTAGCGTTGTCACGCCCCAACTCACAGCAACCGTGTTGTCTGGATCGGCGGTGCCAACTACCAACACAGCAGAACGTCTCTCGAGCATTGTGACTTGATCATCACCGCTCACCGAGGTTAGCGTTGGCGTGTTTGGCAGTGGAATGACCGGAGGCTCGGGGTCAACTACAACCGATTGCACGACTTCATCACTCGTGCCCCTCCCATTCGAAGCCTTTGCGCGAATCGTCCAAGTCCCCTCCCCCGGCAATTGTTCCCGACTGAACGTTGTCGCCCATCGAGAGGCCTCATTAACAGCCGCTTCTAATGTGGTCGTCCCCCAGGTCACCTGGACACGCGCACCAGAAGCAGCAGCACCGGTCACGGTGACACCTTGCGCTCGCTCCTCGTTGCTAATCACGTTGTCGCCTGTTACCGGATCAATCGTGGGGGCGGGAGGCGGTTCTGGACGGTCGGGCTCGACTTCAACAACCAGCGTGGTCTGCTCGCTTTCGCCGGCGCGATTGCTCGCCTTGGCAATGACGCGAGTCGTACCAGCCTGCGGGATCTCGGACGCTGTATAAATCACGGCCCAGGCACCGGAAGACTCAGTCGAGGCCGACTTGGCGCGCCCAGCCCAGTCAATAGCCACGAGACTGCCTGGCGTCGCGGTGCCTTCGATCGTGACACCGCCTTTGGCCTCATCTGACGATACGCGATTATTGCCTGCCACCGTATTAATTTGCGGCGGTCCGGGGAGCGGTGGTAAGACCTGAACAGATCGAGTCACCGTTTCGCTGGTGCCATTGAGGTTCGATGATGAGACCGAGACTTGCGTGTCGGCAGGTGCAGGGACTTCATCCGTGGCAAAAGTGGCTGACCAGGTCCCCCCAGCACTAACTGTGCTCGTCTTGGATCGTCCTTCCCAAACAATCTGAATCGTCGCCCCCGCAGTGCCGGAACCGGTAATCGTAACGCCATCACGTGCCTCGACAGCGCTCACACTGTCGTCGTTCTCCACGGGCTCGATGGTGGGAGTCGCCGGTAGGCTCAGAAAAACGTTAATGATCCGCCTACTTGGTTCGCTCGTCCCATTGGGATTAGTCGCCACAACTTCGACTGTGATCGGCCCGTCTGATTTCGGTAGCTCATCCGGCCCAAAACTCACTTGCCAACGCCCGGTGCCCTCGACAACAGCTTCTTGTGTTCGCCCAGCTAGCAACACTTGCACAGTACTGCCCGCCTGCGCAGTACCGGTGACCACGACCGGCTGTTGGGCTTCTGCTCGATCCAGCACATCATCCACAGCAACCGCCCCGACAGTGGGCGCGAGTGGCGGCTGATCTTCACGCTGCTGCGGTGCGCCGTCCAACGGCAGGTCTAAGGATTTACCGTCGAGGTCGTACACCAACCCATCAGTGCCAACGAACACAGAGTCTGTACCTAACTGGATCTCACCCACCGTGATCTGTCGATTGACCAGAGGGCGCCAAACAGGCGCGGGGATGGGCAGCTGCTTCAGCCCCGTAATGGGGCCCGCGCCTTGAAAGCGTCCCTGTGAGTCTAAGTACTCGCGGTATTCAAGTTGGTACGCCGTGCGATCACACCCGATCACAAAGGGCGCACGAACCCAACAAATTCGCGGCGATTGAATCAGCAACGGATCCGTGGCGGGAGAAATGAGTTCTCGCGTTTCACCGCCAGACAGGGATTCCACCAACTGACCGCTCGCATCTCGAAACTGCACTGAATGATCATTGTCTAGCTGGGTGATCGAACCATCTGAGCTCAGGGCGACGGTGACTTGCTCGTTGCTCGAGACTTGCTTGATCCGATCTAGCGCAACGCGTCTACCCGTCGGGGCGCTTGATGGTCGCCAGGCCCGAAGTTCGTTAGCAGCGGTCAATCCATAACAAAGTCGGCCATTGACCGTGCCGAGTTCACTATCATTCGACTGAGCCAGTGCGCCAGGGTATTCATCACGACAGCTGTAACTCAAAGCGCCCCTGGGCGTCGGTTCGGGGACGAGCGTTGTGCCCTGAAGTCGAAACAACGAACCGTCCGACATCCGGATCACAGGATAACCTGCGTCAAGCATTTGGACCATGGTGACCGCCGGCGAGGGGGGTGACACCTCGAACGAAGTGGACCCATCCCATGACGTCGGAAAAACAAGCAGACCTTTACCATCACGACGGAGCGCCACGACCGGCTCTAGGCCAAAACGATACAGCTGCGCGAACGCGCGATTCGGGGCGGGTTCGGTCGCTTGCCCGCCGTTTTGAGAGGGATTTAGGTTGGCAATCAGCACACCGTTAGAGCCCAAGACGTAAAGCGTCTCGGTAGTCGGACTCGTGCTTCCCGCTGCGGCACGGCTTCTAACATACCCAATTGGCACCGCTTCAACAGCCAACTCATCACGCCCGTTCCGCACTGCAGTCGTGCCCGCGCCGACGGTCACAGAGGACCAAAGCGTCTCAAACGTATAAGGCACCTGACCCACGTCCCCTAAGACATTGCCGCTGACGTCAGTCAAATCAATCTGCCCATCAGCGATATCGCGCACCAAGACATCGGCGAGGCTTAGCGCTGGCTGGGCATTGTCTGGTAGGTTCGCGGCTCCTGATAGGGCAAACCCTGCGATATTGGCAGCATAGACACCATTCTGAGTGGCTGGCAATGACTCGGAACCGGTCTGATCGTTTAAAGCGTTGAGCAAGATGGGCAATCGTCTTAAATCAGTCAGACGATATAGGCTTGGCAACTGATCATTCACAAGCCCTAACAGCTCTGTATGGGCCTGGGCGATGATGGCGGGATCTTTCCACCCGACCGAGACGCCACGTTGGCGGCCAATTTCCATGGCTCGCTCGTACAACGCTTCTGTCAACGGCGTAATGCCGATGTTCTTTTCATAGTCTGTCAACAGGCCGGTACGGGTTTTTCCCTTGAACGACGCGTCCTTCTGTAATCCTTCATCGTAGTAGACGGCATCGTCGGCTGTGCCTTCAAACGTGATTTTGGCGGGCAGGACACCACCACAGTGCACGTACGTCACCATCCCCTTGGTGCTATCGATGGGCCACGGACCAAATACACGGCCATTCGCTAGCTCTACCGTGACATCAACATTGGTGTACTGACCATCTGAGCCACCGATACCAACTCCCTCACCATTGCCGACCCCACCATCGCCATCATCGCCGCCCTCGCCTTCCTGTTCCCTGACTTGACCAATGGTTGCATCACCAAAATCAAGACCAAAGCCTGAAATCAGCCCCCGTTTGCAATTCGCAGAAACGACCGATTCTCCACCGGCACCACAGGCCGCTAGCATCGTCACGAGGAGACCCATGACAACTGTTTGGACGAGCCGATACACGCTCGGTTGGACACACCAAAAACTGAAAAACTTGCTAGCGATCATCAACCCCTTCCTCTGCCCGTTGTCTAGTACGGAATCATGCTAGGCCGGCAAAACTGGATCGTCATCCCCAATGTTTCTGATAGATACGAGACACGCCGTCCGACTGCCGCGACCACAAACATGTGACCGATGCATTGAATTACAAAGTTGGGTGCTTTGCGACCGACCGGCACGCTTCGAAGTGACGCCTACTTGGGTTTGATGTCAGACGAATTTTTTGCAGTAACCATTAAGGTCAAACCAGTCGTGTCCCGCTCAATACCAATGTCGATCGCGGGATCAATCTTGTTCATGAGCGCGACCACATCCTGTGCGCTTCTTTCAACGAGAGTCCAGTCGCAGAAGTATTCCATATGGATTCGGTACGGATTGTTTGCTGCAATATTGGTCAGAAAGAGCGTACCGGAGGGCTTCAAGGAACGCCATAAACGTCCAAGCAATAGCGCTGCCGCGCGCTCGTCGAAGTAGTCAAAGATGCCGCCACACAGGATTAAGTCAAATGTCTCTGCGCCAAAGCGATTCGACTCTTTGATGACATTGCGCGTCGAATAGGAACAGCTAAATCCCAGGGTTCTCGATTTGACCAAGTCGATCGCGCCTTGGTCCATATCCACAAAGCGCAACTCGCCCTTGAAGTCCGTAGGCGAAATCGACCGCAAAGCCTGCTTTGCATCCAGGCCACCTCCGCAGCCGACTAAGAGTGCGACGCCGTTTTGATGGATACAGCCTCGAAGTAGAGACTCTTGCTTGATCAATTTGTTGCGATGTTGTTGCGTAATGGGGAGAGTCTGCGCGTAGTACTCTACGCAGTCTGCGAAGGATTCCAGCCTGTTCGTTGGAACGCCCAGGGACATCTTCTCGATCGTTTCAAAATCCCCCTGATACCCCCTGGGCCAATTTTGTATCCGGTTGATGTAGGGCGATAGACCAAAGGCACGACGCATCTCGGCTAGCGCGGCTTTGATTTCAAGTTTGTCGAGGCCGCACGACTCTGCCATTTCAATACACAGGCTCAGGTCGGCTAAGACCTTGATCATCGAGAAGTAACGCGAGTGGCCTGATTGATGATTGGCTTGGGCAAGCGCGCTGAACTCAAGGTTTAGGGCGCGTAGCCGGTCAACGACGGCCTCCAGGTTGGTTGCTCTAATCTCACTCAACATGCTGATCTGTTACTCCCCGCAAAACGATTTCGCTTTACCCGGCATTGGGTATCGACGCTCAGTCGGTCAAGTGCCTCGACTTGGGCGTTAGGTACGGAAGGTAAAGACACGTTGCTACTAAGTCATCCCCCCAACGCGGGATGACTGTGCAGCGGACGAAATAGTCAGACGGGAACGTCTATCGCTAGGCGTCCGTGTGTCATCGCTTGACGCGTCAAGGGCATTGAATACGAAGGGACTTTCCATTTTAGGTTAATGGCACGTCAGTGCCATGATTGATTTGTTGAAGATCAATCCCCAATCTTTGAATGAGGAACTCCCATGAATACGATAGTACGTGTCGGCGTCGATCTGGCCAAGCGGGTGATTCAGGTTCATGCAGTGGATAGCAGTGGCAAGGTGATCACCAATCGCGCGTTGCCCCGTTCCCGATTTATGGTCTGGTGCGCACAGCTGCCAGCGGGATGCGTAGTCGCGATGGAGGCGAGTGCTGGCGTGCACCATTGGGCTCGCAAACTGAGCGCGTTGGGACTGGAGCCGCGAATCATCGCGGCGCAGTTGGTTGCGCCCTATCGAATGCAGGGTGCGGGCGGCAAGAATGACGCCAACGATGCCGCAGCAATTTGCGAGGCGGCCTCACGCCCCCAGATGCGTTTCGTCACCGTTAAAACACCCGATCAACAAGGCATCTTGTGTGTGCACCGATTGCGTGAAGGATTCAAGGGTGATCGAACCGCTTGCATTAACCGTATCCGGGGTTTACTAGCCGAGTTTGGTTTGGTGTTCCCGAACAGTCCAAGAAGACTGCGCGAAGTGATTGCCGATGTGATCGAGGATGCGAGTAACGATCTTGCCGGCCTGGCTCGATTAACCATACAACAAGCGTATCTTCATTGGCGTCAGCTCGAAGAACAGATTCAGTGGTGCGATGATCGAATTGCCGCTCATCTCAAGCAAGATGAACAGGCGCAACAGGCCGTGAAGGTGATTGGTGTGGGTCCGTTGACGGCGTCAGCAGTCGTGGCGACGGTCAGTGACCTGAAGCAGTTCAAGAACGGCGCGCAATTCGGTGCCTGGATGGGTTTGATACCACGCCAACACTCGAGCGGAGGGAAGAATAAATTGGGCGGAATCACTAAGCACGGCGATACTTACTTGCGGACACTCTTGATTCAAGGCGCTAAAGCCGCCGTCATGACAGCCCACAAGCGCAACGATCCGATATCGCGATGGGTGTGTCGTTTGCGAGAACGCTCAGGGTGGCAAATAGCTGCCGTGGCGCTAGCCAACAAGAATGCTCGCATTCTATGGGCCGTGCTATCCAAAGGCATCGCGTATGACGCTCGACATGTGAGCATAAGGCCAACACAGTCGTTATCCGCGGCCTGAATAGTAAGACATTCCAACCTAAATTCATTGCAAGGCGACGTTTCAAAGATACTGTCGACAGGTCAGACCGGCAGCGGGCAAACTCGATAAGTTGACTGTGGGCCGACGAGTCGGTGCCACGAGCATTGAATGGAGTCCCGCTGAGCGGTTCGTATCTGGGTCCGCACCAAGTGTGCAACAAGGCCGTCTGTAGATGTGCAGTCTGTCTCTCGTTGACAAGCAAATTCGAAGTCGCAAGGAGCGCCCAGTTGAAGGCCGATGTTGCTGAAACTTAGGAATCGAAACCATCATCAACGTCAAGCTTGACGCCAAGGAAAGTCCCTGTAGTCAACTTAACTGAACCGCGTAGAGCTGCAAAACAGAAAATCGAAATTTGCGATCAAATCAGGTTCGAAATGTGAGCTTTTGTAGCCGTTTCGGGCAGTTTCATGGCGACAATTGGCGCCTTGAGTGAGAGTGAATTCGTCATGCGAGCTTAAGTTGACAATCCGGCGTTAGTCAGCCAATTACTTCGCATGAGAAACTGTCAGTCACTCTGCAGCTTAATATTGGTGGTATCAAAGCTGCAGAGAAATGTGAATAGTTCACAAAACTGCCCTGCACTATTAACAACCCAAGAATCTGCATATTCGTGACACTTGTCTCTCCAATAACTATCAATAAAAACGTTGAGGAACAAGATGGACAATTTGATTGCGGCAAACACTTGGGTTGAATCCAAGCCGGTCGATAACGATGACGCCCAGTACCGGCTAGAGATTGATGTCTTATCGCAGCTGTTCGACTATATCGACTACCCGATGGTGCTGGTTGATTCGACCGGTAAGCTAGTTTGGGGTAATGAGCAGGGCAAAGAGGTCATGGCATCCGGGCAGTTGTTGATAACTGCGCAAGGAAAGGTTATGCCAACGTCAAGTGACGCTTGGCCCCGTTGGAACGATCGAATCAAATCTGCTTCTAATGGCGAAGAGGGTCTCGTCTTTGTTGACGGGGAGACAGGTGGTCAAGCGATATCGATTATTCCGCTATCGCAATCGCGTATTCGAAGGAACGGGGAGCAGGACGATCACTACCGGTTACTTGCCGTTATTTTGGGCAAAGAGCTGCCATGCAAGCCATTGGCACTTCGCCGCTTCGCGGGCAGTTACCGCCTCACGCCTGCCGAGCAACGCATTGTGGCGCAACTGCTTAAGGGATTAGCGCCCAGCGCCATCGCGACGATAAACGAAGTCTCGCTGTCCACCGTCAGGACTCAGATAAAGAGTGTCCTAGCCAAGACGGGTAGCAAGAGTATGCGCAATCTGTTGCTTGCCATTTCCAGGTTACCGCCACTGAAAATGATTCGTTAGGCTCGGCGACTACCAGCCGGTCGGCAAGAGCTTAACGATTCGTATTCGTCGCCTTTCGACCGAAATGTAGCCGCCAACGGCGAGCTCTTTGAGGACTTTGGTAATCATCTCTCGGGACGCACCAACTTGATCTGCGATATCCTGGTGCGTTAGTTTATTTTCAATGAGGCGGCTCCCATCGCTTTGAGGGGTCGCCTCATTTTCTAGAAGCTGGCGTACTCTGCCATAGACGTCTAGTAGTGCTAATCCGCGGGCGCTCTCAGTGGCAACGCGCGCCCGTTGAATGAGGCGCATGATCATATCGAGTGCAAAGTCGGGATCCCGTTGAATATGGGTCTTAAGCACTTCTCTGGAAACGACGGCGCAGACGGTAGGTTCAACAGTGATTATGGAGGCTGATCGGGGGCCCCCATCTAATGCCATCTCGCCCACATACTCACCTGAAAAATAGGTGCTTAGCGTCAAAATGCGGCCAGATGACCCTTCAGAAAATGCCCGGACCGAGCCCTTCTTGACAATAAAGAGGTTATCGCCAAAGTCGCCTTGGCTAATTAAAATTGTACCGGTCTTATATCGACGCTCGACCCCTGCCGCGGCTAATTTTGCGACGCTGTCAGAGAGTTGCCACCTGCGAACGGTCTCCGGTCCGCTGTTAGATCCGGCCGAACTCGGCTCTGCATGACCAGAAATTCCCTCAAGCACGCTTTCTCCTTTCGGTCTGTCAAATGGCCTAGCGGTTTGAGCGTCCCCTGAAATGGGGAACGCACGGCGTAAGCCAAATGAGGTATCCGTTTCTCTTTTTCTCAATTCATACTAGCGCAGATAGCAGTTTGGCCGATCTTGGGCACATCGCCAGAATTGCGGCAGCGGGTAAACCCAAGGCCACAACCCCCAAATTTGGTATACGAATCTCTCACGAATCGATCCCGGGCGTGTACTCTGACGGCGGGCATGGCGATCGAGCATCAAATGAGTCTTCTTGCACTGGTTGGTAGACAAAATGAGCCAAGGTAGGAAAGAATGTTCGGGACAAGGTAAGACCAGCCTTTGCATCTGACAAAGATCCAGATGTGAAGTTTGTAGGGGACTAAGGGGCGTGAAAATCAGGGGGCGTCAAGAGCTATCGCTTGCCTTCAGCGAGGAGGCTAGCCGGATACTGGTGATCCTGAACGACAACGAGGGGCTACTGAGACACGGCTGGGCCCCTGAGCGTCTTGAAGCGCTCATGCATCTTTCGGCGCCTGCCAGCACGGCTCTCCAAGCACACGAAGATCAAGCACGCGGTTATCAAATTGCCCAGGCGATTCTTCCGCCAGATTTGCTTCAGTGTTTAGCCGAATACCCAGCCGGACGACTAAGCCTGCAAATATCGCGCGCATTAGTAAAGATTCCGTTTGAGGTGATCGTTGATTTGACGGGTCCATGGCAATCTCGTTTTTCTATTGTGCGAACGCTGTCCGACCTGGAGTTACCCGACGCTGAGGAAGTCCAGAGTTGGTCGCCTGCGCCAGACGATCGCCTGTTGATCGATGTCATCTCGGATGGCGAGAGCCTGCAGGAACGGCAGGCCTGGGATGATGCACTGATGTCGTGCGGCCTGAGCGGTCTTTGCGAGCCGAACGACCCATGCCTGATCATTGCCAACGATAGCAAGATTGCTCAGGAGCATTTTCGCCGAACAGCTTTGCCTAAGCCGATCGTTTGGATTTGGCCCACTACAGGTGAGGATATCGAAGCTGTTGCATTGTTGACTGGCCATGGACATGCAGTCCTTGCCCTTGATGTCTCACGAACCGAGCAAACCATGCTCCAAGCAGGCTTGCCACTGTTGGCCGCTTGTGCGCGTGGCCAGCCGATCCCAGAAGCGATCCGACAGGCAACGCAGACTGAGGCATGCCCAGGCACGCCTTGGCGCGCCTATAACGTGCCATATCGTTTATTCATTGCTTCGACGAACGGACGGGCAAAGCTCGCACACGGTGAGAATCGTCAAGTCACCGCGCTATCGCTAGATCTAGCGGGGTCCACGTCGCTGATCCAGGCGTTAGGAAGCGAGGGTTATAGCGAGATGCTGAGCGAGCTGCACCAGATCTGCGTTGACTGTGCTGAAGAACGCGGTGGGGTTCAATACGGACGACTGGGCGATGATAGCTCGATGATCGTTTTTGGGCTCCCGCGGGCGCTCGAGGACGCAGCCCAACGGGCGATGACGACGGCGCTGGCAATGCAGCGAGCAATCGCTGCATTGCCTGGAAGCCCGAAATTGCGGATTGGTATCGCAACGGGCCGCGTGTCCGTGCATCAGGATGTGCCGTATGGGCAGACGGTACATCTCGCCGCCAGGCTCCAAGCTTTGGGCGACCCGGGCGATGTCATTGTCGATGCCACCAGTCGCTCGCTATCGCAGCAAGAATTTGTCTTTGGCAGCCAAACGGATTACCAAGTAGTTGACACCGATTTAGGACAGCTCTCCGGCGCTACGCTTCTGGGGAGCAGGGAGAGTCAGCAACCGCTGCCTGCCGCTGCGGCGCTGGCCCCGTTCGTGGCGAGGGAGGCAGAACTTGCCGATATCAAAAGCTATTGGCATCGGTCTTGTGCGGGCGAGGTGATTGCTTTAACGCTCCGCGGAGAGGCTGGCATTGGTAAGACGCGGCTTATTCGAGAGTTTTTGCAGACGGTGGACGGTGAGTCTGCCTTGATATTCCAGATCCGGGGACTGCCTGATTTTCAGCGCAGTCCCTTCAGAAGCCTGATTGACGCGCTCGAGCGTGGCTACCAACTCCAATCGGGCGATAGTACTGAGCACATGCGTTTGACCCTTGAAAAAGGGACTGCCCTACCCGTGACGGCGAACGATGCGGTGTTGCAATTGGTGGTGCTATTGGGGATGACTCCTGCCTCGTCGGCTCCTGGCACAACCCCAAACGCCAGCAAAGAAAGCGGTGAGAAGCTTCGGGCCGATATTTTCGAGACCGTTTACCAGGTCGTGATGAGATGCGCACGGACCCGGCCGCTGGCAGTTGTGGTTGAAGATATGCAGTGGGTCGACCATTCAACGCTCGAGGCCTTAACGAGCTTGTTCAATAGAGTTCGAGATGACCAAGGCTTGCCGATCTTCTTTCTGACATCGGCTAGAGAAGGCACTCAGGCCATGGAGTTGCCTGATACAAATGTGTTGGAGATTGAAAAGCTATCGCACGCCGCTTCTCGATGGTTGGTAAGAGAGATTGGCGGCGAAAAGCTGTCAGCCAATGCTATCGATCGGCTCGCTAAGCGCGCCAACGGTATTCCACTATTTCTTGAAGAGTCGGCCAAGATTGCCGTTGACACTCAGAGAGGGCCGGAAGATTGGCAGACCACTGTCCCTGAGTCGTTAGATGCCCTGCTAATGACTCGGCTCGATCATGCAGGCCAAGACGCTAAGTCGTTGGCGCAGGTGGCATCCGTGCTAGGACGAGGCGTACCAGTTGCGCTCTTAGAAACCATTTCAAAAGACGCAGCCTTGCCGGTCTCCGTTGGAGTATTCGATGAGACGCTTCTGGCGCTTGAGAGCAGTGGCATTGTCTATCGGTCAGAAACCGCCACTTCGGCTCGCTTATCTTTTAAGCATGAGCTGCTTCGAGATGTTGCCTATTCTTCGATGTGGGTGAGAGATCGAAACACCATTCACGCCTTAACGGTCTCCTACTTAGAGACAAGCTTCTCAGACCTTGTTCGACATCAGCCAGACACATTGGCTTATCATTATCGCGCCTCTGGGCAGTATGCCGACGCAGCGCGTGAGTGGGAAAAGGCAGCTACTTTGGCAGCGGCAACGTCCGCCAATATGGAGGCTATTGATCACTTAAACTCGGCTATCGAAAGCCAGAATCAAGTCTCACCCACGATTGATAGCGAACGCGCCGAACTGCGCCTTCAACTGAAACTAGCGGCGCGCCTGATAGCCTCAGATGGATACGGGGCGGCGCTGGTAGAGCAAGTTTACGCCCGTGCCGAAGCGCTTGCCCGCCGGCTGGAAGATAGTGCGGCGAAACTTAAAGCGCAGCTTGGACTGGAAAGCGTTTATGTGATGCGAGGCAAACTACGACTCGCTACAACACTGGCTAGAAGCGTACTTGAAACGGCCGTTGCTTTAGTTGACGAAGGCGCTAATCCAGCAATGCTGATGCAAGCACGATGGGCATTGGCAAATGTACTTTTTCATTCGGGACAGTCGACAGAAGCGATGCTGCTCTTTGAAAAGTGTTTGGCCGAGTATCGAGCCGACATGCACCAGCCTCATGCTGTTCAAGACCCGGGCGTCATGTGCCTGTGTTATTCGGCTTGGGCATTGTGGGAGATGGGTTATGCCGATCAGGCTAAAAGTCGCATCGAAGAAGTGGTCTCGCTGGCCGGCAGGCTCAAGCACAAGTTTAGCGAAGCGCAAGCTCATGGATTTGCGGCAAGCCTTTGCTTGTTTCGAGGGGAGTTGGACCAAGGCCTATCACATGCGGAAAGGTCAATCCAGATCAGTGAAGAGTCGGGCTTTAGCGTCTGGTTTGCCCACGCCACAATCATTCGGGGCCGTTTGCGCGCCTTAACGAACCGCAGCGATGACTCGATAGCGGAAATGTCAAAAGGCTATCAATTGTGGGCGTCCACAGGCGCTGTGATTACCTGTCCATTCTATTTAGCCCTGATTGCAGAGACTCACTTAGAAAGAGAGCAAATTGAAGCCGCTAAAACCTGTGTAGATCAGGCTCTTCAAATTATTGAAAGCTCCAACGAGATGTATCACAAAGCCGAGTTGCTTCGGTTATCGGGACAGATCGCCTATGCAAAAGGTGAACCCGTTCAGGGACAGGCTCTTGTTGCGCAAGCGATTTCTCTCTCCAACGAACAAAACAAGCCAGCATTCGCTTTACGGGCGTCGATGGTGGCGAGCGAACGCCTGAGTCGAAACGGCCATCATGAACAAGCCAGATTGATGATCAACCAAGCCATTGAGCCATTTAGTGAGGGATTCGATACGGCTGACCTTTTAGCAGCCAAATACTTGCAACAAACCCAATCGACACAGGTGATCTCACCCAGCAATTCTGATGGATCAGAACATCGTCGGTAATGTTCTTTGAACAGAACTTAGCCGATCACGACAAGCTTAGCGCCGGACACCCAATGCTTATAAATCCAGAACCACGACCTGACATTCCAATCCCATACGGTACGGTTAGTCATCATCGGCACAACCAAATTATCCGCTCTCATCTTGAACATGGACTGTGGACAAACGAGCTTTTACAGATGTTAGGGCAACAAGGTGTCTACGAATTCCCAAGCATCTTTTGCTTTGAGGAAGATCCTGCCCCACCGGTGACAACCTATAGGTCGTCGGGACATCAAAAAGCGCTTATCGTCTCCGATCCAGGCCTTGTTCGAAAGATCCTGATTAACGAAGAAGGTAAATTCAGTAATGTTCCCTATGCTGAGCTGGGTGATCGCAGTTTTGTGTTGGCAATGGATCCGCATTTAGGTGACGGTAGCAAGCTCCACAGAAGGCAAAGCGCATATATTAAACAGTTGCTCGACATGAAGACACCTCAACTGAAGGAACTTGTTGAGAGATCAATTGAACATGCTACTTCGTCAACCCTAAGTCAATCAGAGTTCGATTTGGCAGATCTTGCAGCCGAGGTGGCGGTCCGCTTCTGTGGTCTTTGGTACGGATTTGCATCAAAAGACCATCTGCTAATTAAGCAGGCGGCGCTGGCTGGATATCGTGGCCTGACTTACATCAACTTAGAACGCCACTTCGAGCGTGACGACTCAGTCATCCTGCGCGCTAAACAGCTAATGGCTCAATTGCATGCGCGAACCGCAGAGCTTATTAATGAATACGGCGATCTTCGGTGGCATCATCGACAGGTTTCTGGAAACCTGAAACGATCAAAAGCCAGGGCGACACAGCCAGAGGGCGTTGAACCATTAGCTGACTGGGATCTGACGACGATTGGAAAGCCTCTTCTCAAGCAGATTGCCAATTATGAGAAAAAGGAGAATGACGAAGTTGAGTTTACGCTCACCGAGTTGTCGTCGATGGTTGTTGGCCTAATCGTTGGCACGGTGGGTAACGTACAGGCTGCCACATGCCTAATGTTGAAAAAGCATTTTGAAGCCCCTAACCAGCATATCGATCCTTCAACATTGATTGATACCCTCCCACCTGTCCCATTCCTGACAAGAAGAAGCGTTGAAGAGTTCAAGTTAAATGACCAACCGTACCCGAAAGGTATGGATATTCTGTTGTGCCTGAGTGCTGCGAACTTTGATCCTAATAACTATCTACCCGGCATGGGCATGGGTGACCCAGGAAAAACGCCGAAAGAACGAAAGAGTCAGCACCGGTGTTTGGGTGACTCCATTGGCAGCGAAATTGTCACCCAGCTTGTCAAGGCCGTTCTTGATTTGCCTAGCATTGCCGAAGTTATGGACCCTGTTAGCGGAGATCCCAAGGGGTTGCAGCGGCGCTTAAGTTTCGCCTGCACCGAGTATCGTCTTACCCATGAACGTTCGGTCCGCCTAACTCAGCAGCCGTTGAATGTATTGATGAGGGTTAAGACACCGGTTGATTTCCATGCCAGCGCGATCGCACAGGTTATTTCAGTGGGTATTCCCAGGATTGAGAAAGCCTTGCGAGGTTCAAAGCACGTCTACTTTGCTTGGTTTCAACTCTTGGATTCAGGTCGAGTGTTAGCCCTTCACACCGTCTATGACGGTGATTTTGATGCCTACGTACAGCACTTTGCCCTTGAAGTGGACGATTTGTTTGACCAGCTTTTCGAACATATTGAAGGGGCTCCACCTTTGCCCGTACGCGAGAATCCAGCCCGATTTGTCGAAGTAATTCGAGCCAATAATTATCCCACGCTGGGCAACTACTTTTACAGTGCGCTGCCAACGAGGGAACTCACTGAGCTCAACAATCAGGGGGGAGGTTAAGTGCCTACACCTAATTTAAGAGCTGGTCACATACAGCATTTGGTACTTAAGGGTGCCAAGCGGGAAAAGGTCTGTCATCAAATACTTCGATTCGACGACTCGGCTCACGCACGTCGATTCCTGAAGCAATATGTGACGTCCAAGCTAACCTACCTTACACGCAGGACTTTAGCTAATGACAAACCCATCTTCTCTTTCGGCTTGACTTTCAAAGGCCTAGAGGCACTGAGTCTCCCCGATCGGTACCTGAATTTGTTTGCGACACTGTCAAAACCCTTTGCTGAGGGAGCGCCGATTCGCGCTGCCACGCACCTGGGCGACACGGGCGAGAGCGCGCCTAGGCATTGGGGACCTGGCTTTAGTCTCCCTGAGGCTCATGCTTTAGTTACGATCCATGCGAATCCTGATGACTACGATAGCGCTAGGGAAGAACTAGAAGCAGAGCTAGAACGCGAAGAATACAGTGGCGTGACGCCTGTCGGACCACTCATTGAAGGCGAGCATCTTAGCGCCCCACCAGGCCAGAGTGACTCTAGTGGCGCCAGTAAAGCTCGATGGGTGCATTTTGGCTATCGGGATAATCTCACCAAACCAGTCATTGGTGGCTTAGAAGGGAAACTTGCTGGGTTCGAAGTTAAAAAAGCCGGTGAGCTGTTGTTGGGCGAAGCGCGCGAAATTGGTGATAACCCGTGGAGTCTGACCAAAGCAAAACCTAAAGTGAAAGATTTCTTTCGGCATGGGAGCTTTGGCGTTTTCCGGCAAATTGAGCAGAATGCGCAAGCTTTTGAAAACCAGATCAACATCTGGGCAAAGCAGCTGATTGCACAAAAGCCTAAATACGAGACTAAGGATAAAGGCAGGGAAAGCGACGAAGCACAAAATAAAGGGCCGGGAGACGAAAAAGAACCGGAACAGGAAGAAAAGGAACAGAAGGAGAAAGAAAAGTTCAACCAGGCTCGTGAATTCATCAAGGCCAAACTATGCGGTCGGTGGCCCAATGGTGAAGTGGTTGACCCGTTGGATTTCTTTAGTGGCCCGTCCAAATACGACGAAAAGAAAGAGCCGCCATCGTATGACGGGGATGAGCTTGGTTTTGGCTGCCCCTTGGGCTCACATATTCGACGTATGAACCCAAGGGATGAAGACGCGGTACAGTCTCGACCACGAGTTTTATTCCGTCGCGGAACGCCGTATGGGAAATGGTATGACCCCAATGCTAACGAGACAGATGCCTCGACTAATCGAGGATTGCTTGGGCTTTTCTTTTGCAGTGACCTACAAGACCAGTTCGAACATTTATTGGGGCAATGGGGTAATAGACGATCGTTAGGGGCTCCGGGCAGTCTCAGCGCTAAAGATCCGTTAATTGGGCATCATGATGACTCGCGGGCGGTATTTCGCATTCGATTTATTCGAGAGAGCACAACTGGCGAGACCCAACACGAATCGCAGCCTGTTGAGTTACATGGATTCCGTCCGTTCGCGGTGACGCGGGGCACCGCCTATTGCTTCTATCCAACAAAGACCTGTCTTGAACTCATCATCAAGAACGATTGGAGTGAAGAGCAGCATCTGGCCTCGGCATGAGCGACACACCCGAACAACAAGCGTCAACAGTTACGCCGGAGATGCTGCGCGAAGAACCACCAAGAGACCGCTGGTGTGATCTGGTATTAACGGGGGGCATCGCGAGTGGCGTCGTTTATCCGTGGGCCATTCTTGAACTCGCCAGGAAGTTCCGGTTCAGGAATATTGGTGGCACCTCGGTGGGCGCGATGGCCGCGGCCATTGCGGCAGCGTCTGAGTATGCGCGCCGTCACGGCAACCAACACCCTTTTGAAGCCATGCGCTTGCTTCCTGAAAAGCTCGCCAAAATGATTCCATCTGCTAGGGGCCAAGGCGAC